GCCTCAACAAGCTCTTCGGCCCGCTTTTCGCAATTACGACACAGGTTTTTCTACCTTTTGTGTTTCCCCTTCTCAAGTTGGCCCTAGAACTGGCAGCGTCAACGGATGGCTGGCGTCTGCCTACAACAGCCTGCAGACGGCTTGCCAGGCTTGCTGGCTGCTGCTTGTGGTCCGAGATTCTTAGGCTAGCCAGTTCGCCAAGATCTTGCAGACCTTTTGCGGATGGGCTTTGTGCAAAAGCTGTACGACATGGCGGGCCAGTGGGTTTTGGAGTTGGGTGGACGCCCTAACCCTCATCGGCGCCGGTAAGCCTGGTCCAGCGGATGACATCTTGAACAAGCTGCGCGTGACCTTCGCCCCTACGCAGGTGCTGGAGAACGGTGGAACGCAGAATGGTCAAGAAGGAAGCTGAAGCTTTCGCCGCATCACTTAATCCGGGCAGCCGATGAACCCCAGTAGGACGGTGACGCCGAACGGTGTCTTGGTGCGACCGGCCAAAGAGTGGGTCCCACCGAAGCAGCGCGGCCGGCAGGCAAACGCACAGCAAGACATCAGCTGCCCGCTTTACGCTTGCTGCGCGGCGCGCGCGGTGGAGGTGTGGGGCCAATGGCAAAAACACCCCGTCGATCAAACGGCGCAACGTGTGCGTTGGAGTGGGGTCCCGCCGCATCAGCGTGGTCGGTGGGCAAACGCGCAGCAAGACGGCGTGCGGCTGCGCGGCCAACGCGAAACGTGATTCAAGACTTGATGACCAGGAAACTGGCGTGGGAAGCTTCGTGCAGGCAACTGGCCCAGGTGTAGCGGAGCGGGGTACACGCAGCAAGACATCAGTCCCATGCTCTATTCTTGCTGCGCGGCGCACGCTGTGGAGGTGGCCAACTTGATTGCAATTCCGCAGCTGGTGTTCGAACACAAAACTTGACACCCCCACAATGAACCGGCCCAGCTGTGCATTGGAGCGGGGCCGCGTCGAAGCAGCGGTGGGTAAGACATCAATTGCATGCCTTGCGCTTGCTTACTGCGCAGGTGTGTGGCCAGATGTGATTGCCTGGCGTACGAACTTATAACTTGATGACCAGAAAGGGAAAGCGCCCCCGCGTTCAAGCGGCCCAACTCTGGGCGCTGCAGCAGGGTCCCGCCGCAGCAGCGTGGGCGGCGGGTCAGCGCGAAGCAAGACATTGGCTGCGTGCTTTATGCTTGCTGCGCACGCGCGCGCGTGGAGGCGCATGGCCAACGGGAAGCGGCTATCAAAGCTTGATGACTAGAAAACTGGCGTGGCCGGTGGCAGGCAATCGGCTCTGTGTGTGTGTGTGTGTGTGTGTGTGTGTGTGTGCGTGTGTGTTCAACAGGAGTGCACCGCTGGCAGGTAAACGCGCAGCAAGACGACATCAACTCTGTGCTTTTTCCCAAGAACTCCTCTGGGGTTGGGTTCTCGTTTAGTTGTCTAACCGCGAGGGAGCGAGGATCGGCAGGGGTTCGGCCTGAAGTGTACCATGTTTGCAGGCCGAATTGCCGGCAAAAACGGGACCGATCTCAAATATCCGATAGGATGGAGGCGACGGCGGCGTGTGCCGTTGGGATTTGCTTCTGCGGATGCAACCCCCGCCGAGGTGACGGGGGAAGATCGGGCAAGCCTGTTCGCGGCAAGATCGGGCAAGCCTGTTCGCGCCGCAAGCGCGCGCGCCGTGCGCGCGCCTGTCCATGAGCTCAACATCACATGGAAAGGCGCGCGCGCGGCGCGCGCGCGCGGCTGCCGCCCCCTCTGAACCACCTTGTAGCCCAAAAACATTGCAAAAAAAGGCCGCTGCTTCCCCGGGAGTCCAAAAGACAAAGTGAACCAAGTGCTTGGGAGACGCCCCTTTGCCGAAAACCACCCGCAAGAAGCTCCGAGAAAACGTGACAAACCATGGCTTGTTGCAACGATGTAATTTCGACTGCCGCGTCCTGGATTCGCATCTCTCTTGCTCTTGTCCGATGCTTGCAGCTCAGTGCAAGGCTGCCATCTAAGAGCTTTTGCTGCTTGCAAAGACCCAATTGTCCGTGGAGCCCTCAAGGGGCCATAGCAAAAAGGCATAATCCACGAGCTCCTGCCTGCACACTGCTTGGGCAAGCAGTTCGCTGACAGTCATTCACAAATATTTGCTCGCATCTAGGTTTTTGGGTTCCCCGGCTCTCCTTGTTTCCTGTTGCGCGGCGCATACTGTGGAGGCGCGCAGCCAATGTGATTGCACTCCCTATGCTGGCGTTCGAACTCAAAGCTTGAAAGCTGGCGCGGCCGGAGGGGAAAGCGTTCGTGCAGCCAACTGTGCGCGCTAGAGTGGGGACCCGTCAAAAGCAGCCCGGCCGGTGGATAAACGCACGGCGAGACATCAACTGCGTGCTTTATGCCTGCTGCGCTTTATGCCTGCTGCGCGGCGCGCACTGTGGAGGCGCGTAGCCAATGTGATTGCACTTCCACAGCTGGCGTTCGAACTCAACCTTGATGACCAGAACCTCCCCCAGGCAGCCGGCCCAACTGTATGAGTCCACACGGCACTTTAACCGCTGCGCTGCGCATGGCCGCGGTGAAGGTCTTGTGACAAAACTGTCGGCGGGCATGGTATGTGCTGGCAGCGATCGCTTTTTTTGGTATCTTGCTTGACAAGCTATGGGGGGGTATCTTTTTTGTGAGGGATCAGGGCTGGCCAACCACGCCGTGCGTTTTGCTCAGCCCGCAGTGCTTGTCGCCTTGTCTTGCAAACGCGGGACTATTGCTGCAGGCGGTGTGCCATGGAGATTTGGAAATTGGGGTAAGATGTTGGAAGCTGGGGTGCCACGCCCGTGGATAGGGTATGCGCCCCCAGCGGAGCTTGAACATCTTTTCAAAGCAAGTCTCGGTCGCCTTGTCTGGCCGCTGACGCGCATGCCCGGTGGAAGCCTTGTGTGGCCAACAGGGATGCAAACACAGTGGCGCACACTGTGGAGGCCTCGGGAAACACGCAGAAATTCCCCAACTGAAGCTCTAGGGCACAAGCAGCTAGTAGCGCGGCAGAGCGTGGCGTTCACTGTGGAAGCGCGTGGCCAATGTAATTTGTACTCGTGCAGTTGACGCTCGGATTCAAGGCGGGGAAGCACACAGAAAGTCATCAGTTGTTCGCTGAGTGATTGCTGAAAACCATACTGCCTCCTAGGTGTGGGCGTAAACAGCAAGTTGCGCGGCAGAGCGCAGCGCGCGTTGCGACGTAATTTCAGCAGGCTTTTGATCTCAAATCTTACCAGCGGAAAAATCCAATTGTTTGCTTAGTGTTCGCTGAAGCCCTGCTTTTACATACCTGGAAGCGGGCGCAAACAGCTAGTTGTGCAGCAGAGCAAAGGCGTTCACTGCGGAAGCGCGTGGGTGGTGTAGCTTGTATTTACGCAGCTCGCGTTCGAACTCGACGCTTGGTGATCCCAAACCTGACGCGGCTGGTCGGTAAACATACAGCAAGACAGCGACTGCGCACTTTGTGTTGCTTGAAGACTCCTTTATCCCAGGCGCCGAGTGCCAACAGCCAGTTGCGAGGCAAAGCACGGCGCTCGCTGCGGAGACCCGCGGCCAATGTGATGTGCATTTCCGTAGCAAGTGTTTGAGGGGCGCAAGCAGCTATAGTTGCGGAGGCGTGTGGCGAAGTGTGTTTTGCATTTGCGCAGCTGGCTTTGGAACTCAAAGCTTGATGATCAGAAAACTGGCGTAGCTGGTGGGGACACGCATGGAAAGTCATCAATTGCTCGCTGTTAACTGAAAACCCTGCTTTTGCCGAAGCAGCGTGCAAGGCGGACACAGCGTATTGTCGAAAAGCGTGGGGCCAGAGTGAAGAAGCGCTTGAAAAGTCAGCATTTTTTCGCGGGATGCTGAAAAACACCGGCTTTTTCCTCGACATGACGCAAACGCCTAAGTTTGCGGCAGAGTGCGGCGTACACTGTGATTTGCTGCATTTCCACGTCTGGCTTTGGAGTTCAAACTTGATGACCGTACGTACACTGCGGAAGTGCGTGGCCAGCGTGATTTGCATTCCCGCTAGCTTTGGGAACTCAAAGCTTGATGACCAGAAAACTGGCGTGGCCAGTGAAGAAGCGTGTGACAAGTCAGCATTTTTTCGCTGGATGCTGAAAAGCCTGCTTTTACCCCGACGTGACGACGCAAATGCGGCAGAGCGCGGCGTACGTTGTGATTTGCGTATCCGCGGCTGGCTTTGAAATTCAACCTTCAGGGCCGTACGTGCGCTGTGAAAGCGCGTGGCCAGTGTGATTTGCATCCCCGCTGGCTTTGGAACTCAGAACTTGATGGCCAGAAAACTGCCGTGGCCAGCGGGAAGCACGTGACAATCTTCAAATTTTGGGCTGGATGTTAGCTGAAAAGCGGGCACCAATGGCCAGTTTTGCGGCAGAGCGCTGTGGAAGCGCGTGGCCAGTGTGATTGCCATGAAAATCATGATGCGTGATGCAACTTTGCGCGTGTGTGTGTGTGGCTGTGCGCGACGATTGCCATAGATGTGGAACGCATTTAGGGCCACACGCGTGCGAGCTTGCGTGTGGCCTTTCGGTTCTCTCGCCCTGCCTTCCAGCTCTCCAACTTCCAGGCCTGCAGCCCAATGGCGAGCCATTCAATAAATAGTGCGAAGCGCCTATCGCATTCTTCTGGTTGCCGGCAGCGCCCCTTGCGGAAGCAGCGCCAAATCCGTGTTGGCCTATTAAGTGTCCGATCTTTAAATGGCGACGCTGTAGATCGTCTTCGCAGAATATGTTGTGTTTTTTCGCGCGCGGTTTTGTGCACCATCTGACCCATGCAGGTTCTGTGCACCAACTGCTTTTGCACCCATGCGGGGAAACTCGTGGAACGGGATTGCGCTGCAATTTTTTTCCAGTGCCAAACTGCCAGCGCAAGAGGTTGTGGCAATGCGAGGGCAGCCGCTCTCCAAAGATCATTGGACAGAAGTGCGCGTGCGTTCTGTGCAAACTGCAACCAGCGCGCCACTTTTCCGATGTGTGCCCGTGTTTGTCTCCACCCCCCCTTGACTCCAGGCGCAACCCTCCAGAACTACAACAATGAGCTGGTGAAGTCCATCGAGGACCTCCGCGAGAAGAGGGAGGAGACCCGAAGACGTCAGACGATGCCAGCCTGGGAGCATGTCGGGTTGGATCAAGTGAATGGTGTTTAGGCAGGGATGCACACGGATCCTTTCATCTTCACCCACAGTTCCACACAGGTGTTGACCATGCATGGCTCGTCAGTATCGTGTGCTCGTCGTCCACGTTCGTACATGAACACAGTCCGCTTTGCAAGGGCTCCATCTGTCATTGCAGCAGTGGCTTCCCATTCATAACACATTTTTCCGGAGCGTATTTTCCCTCGGCCAAATCAGTGGGATCATCCAAACTGACGGCACGATGCCTCCGCTAACATGTGGCCAGCCGGCAGCGAGGAGCTGAACCGTCAGATCCTCAAAGAGGAGGAGGTGCCTGGATTCGAGTCCGAAGATGAGAAAAACACATTGCGGCGGGGGCGGGGTCCTCATTCATTCCCATTCCCATTCCTATTCCCATTCTCATTCCAATCCAAGCCATTCCCATTCCCATTCCGAGAAGGAGGTGCCCGTTGTGGAAGCTTTTGGAAGGACGCAGGAAAGAAACAACCGCTTGTGGGGCCCCACTCTTTACGCAAGTTGCTAGCATAGCGTTCTCCTTACTTTAGCAGTTAAATTGATTCGTTGAATCTTGGGAGGTGGGGGGGTGCTTAGCTTTGGGTTCGGGTCTGAACGCCCCTTTTGAGGTTGCCATTCGAAACTGCTCGTTGTGCAAGAGTTATTTTGAGGTCGCTAGTTTCACCGAAAGCAGCTTTCGTTCAGAAAGTGTGGGAAGCACCCACACGCTTTCACCTAGTGCCCGCCAGGACAAAGCCAAGATCCAGAAGGAGCACGGGCGGGCATCTTCACCAAGAGCAGTGGGCAGAGGGCAGAAAAGGCTGTAGTCGAAAATGGGTGGAGCAAACGAAAGGCTCAGAAGGAACATAGATTGCGCGAGAATTGCGGGATCCTTGTACAACAACCCCTTGTGTTTTTAGTTGGTTTTCTGCTTTTTGTACCAACTGCCAAAAGCTTAGGTATGCTTAGGTTTTTTGCCCTCGGGCTCCAGAGTGTTTCGGAGCGGCTCTGGGCGAGAAACTTCGCAAATGTCGTGGGGCGACGCCTGCGTTTTGTTGAAGGAGAACTCTGGGAATATAGATGGAGCGCTGCAGCATTGTGCAGCGATTGCTCAGCTTGAGCTGGGTCTCTGTTTCGGAGTACGCAAGTGGTTGTACACTACGCAGCTGAGGAGCGAATAGTCTTTGTGGACACAAGAAACATTCTTTTGTTGGAAAGTTGGTCGCATCCACCCGTTTTCTGCCAAGCGGTTGCAGTTCGGCATTTGGGACCCTTCAACCTGTGCAGTTTTATGATAACCCCCACCCCACCCCCCGCCCCCGCGCGCATTAAAGCAAAAGTGACCCGGCTGAGTTCAACATCATTTTTGGGCAATGAGTTGTCGTCGGGCCCCTGCACGGGTGTATCTTGGGTTAAGACATATATGACAATTGCACTGTAAAGGACTTCCCTCCGATGAACTTCCCGCGAGGTTTTCCCATAAACTTTGGCCCTCATTTCTTGTTCTGGAGGACTCACTTATTGAAGAGGGTGAGTAGTGGTTGGTGCATGATGTTTTTTCTTCAGCACACTCATCATTTTTGCCGACTGGTTTTAGAAAGGCCCCTCTCAGGAAGGCAACACACACGCTATAGAATTACAGCCCAAAACTTATCATTGAGACCGGTATGACCACTGATTATATATCTTCCAAAACCAAAAGTAGACCCCCCCCATGTAACGTAGGGGTATATTTTACTTGGGTTGAAATTTGAAGAAACCGGGTTCCCGACTTTGCGGAAGCGGACAGGAGCTATCTATCCTTACGGACCGGCTGCAAAAGATCAACGAGAGCCTGGTCCGCAAGACCCAGGCGCGCAACGAGTATGACAAGACCATCCAGGACTGAGCCGTCCTATTCGCCCTGTGACAAGTTATTTGGCCTGTTCCTATTCGCCTGAGCTGATGTGTTGCTTGGTTGAGGTGGGGCTTGCTACGCTGGCAGGCACGCTCAGTCGATGGTTGCTTCAGGAGACCGAGGCGGCCTACATGAAGATCCTGGAGTCCTCGCAGACGCTGTTGCATGCCCCTTTCGATGCAAGTATTGACGTTGAGAGTCAAATCCTTCCTCGTGTTGATAGGGAACGCAGTCAAATTTGCGGAAGTTGACAAGGCCACAAGGCGTACCTGGTCACTGGTCATCCGTATTGCCGAAGTGATGCCATTTTTGACACTTTAGCACCCGATTACGCTCAGGTGCTGAAGCGCGAAACAGATGCAAAGCTGCATTTAGGGCTTGGGTGGGGGGGGGGGCTGCGGATGTTGAGCGCGAGGTCGCCCTTCCTTTAGACAGCGCGCAGCATGCATGGGGTCGGTTGCGTTTCATATTGATCACCAGACTTGGTCATGTTTGCGAGCGATTTGTTGTTCCAACAATTGCTGGGCAGAGCTGCAGGACTCGCTGCAAGGGCAAATTCCATTATGCTCACTGGCCACCAATTTGTACCAATTCTTCAGGCAGATTGCCTGCCCGCGCCCGCATTTGGCATGCGTCGGAGTGGGTGCCAGGGCTTGCCTTTCCCAAGCGCTTCAGTTTGAATCTCCGGGGGGAGAAAGGTTTGCCTTGTCCATGCGTACTAGTGAAACCAAGAGAGACGCGGTAAGAATACCGTGAGAGGCACGGCGCTTTCTTCCGGGCAAAACCCGAGGCAGCCCAATTCAAAGCCCAACTCACCATATTCGATTGTTCATTCTTTCGCACTCGTGTGACCACTTGATTTGCCATGCCGAAGGTTCCGACACATGGGCATGATGGCTACCAGCAGGCAAATTCCGCCGTAAGCAAAGCCCTCAGGTGAACTTGACCAAGAAGAAGCAGGGCTCGGACTGAGAGTCAGTCTCACTCAAGAATCGCCGGGTGCCATGCTGAGCCTTGGGTCAAGACAGAAACTTGTTCGGACGGGCATTTGAGCCTGGGTGTGGACGGCCAGACTGTTCAGTGGCCACTGCCCTCGGCTCACATGGGCGCTGATTCCGTGAAGTGCATCGGTGCTTGGCTTTGGCTGGTGAGACTTGGGTCGTGAGGTCTTTCTCAGTGCGTTTTTCCCATGCGCAGATCAGCCTGGCAGAGCACCCGTGGACGCAAGAAACCCCTCTGCTGAGGACAGGGCAGAGCAAGCAGCGAAACCTGACGCAATGCATCTCGCTATGTGTTCATTAGCCAGATGGCACCAGCGATTATTGTTCGGGTGCCTGTTGTGGCAGCCTTGTTCTATCTGGTTTGAAGCTAAGCTGCTGCCCGCCCTCTTTCACAGGTCTGCAGTGGCACAGGTGCAGACCTCCTTCCGCTGCTTAGTCTCCAAACCATGTATTTTTAGAGTTCGTGGACATGCCCTGCGCGCTGCATCGAGCACAGTGCTCGTGACCTGAGCACGTATCATACCGTGGGGCCAGGGTGGCAGGTAAACGCTTGTCGCCCTGTGGCCCGCTTCGCCTATGCTGTCACTTGAGCCATCGCAGGATGCAGAAATCTCTTGGCTCTGTGGGGGGTCACCTTGGTTCAGAGGCTGGAATCTATGGTTTGCCGCCCATGCATATTTACTACCGGCGAGATTTGGCAAGCTCGGGATGCTCGGGTTTTTCACCTCCCGGAGGCACGCAGTCCTCCCACCTCAGATCAATAATGCCAAGAACGCGGCTTTAGATTTGGACGGGGGGGGGGGGGTTGAAACTCCACCGCTGCCCCATTTTCATTTCTCGCCTTGGCTTGCAACAATCTGGGAGGGCAACGCAGGCTTTCAATCATGGCCAACCGGAAGAATTAACGATTGAACGTCGCCGATCAGCAACCTTATCTATTCGGAATGCAGCCTGCCCTTCACAACATTCAGGCGTCCATGTCAGCTAAGTAGACCCAACCCTTCAAAGTGAGGTAGCGGCACGAGGGCGGCAATTAAATGAGCGCTCATTTTCCCCATTCCATCAACCCAGAGTATGAACTCCTATTTCCTGGGGTCCTACTGTGGATGGACGAAATCCTGCACCACCACTAAGAAACCCTACCCATGCCAACAAATACTGGTTTCCCATGGTTTCAAAGCGGTGCAGGATTTCGTCCACCCACAGTAGGGACAAGCCATTCGGAGAGAGGTCCAAGCGGGAGGCAAGCTCCACGAAGCTTTCCGCTTTGCAGGCCGCGCTGGTCGGCGCGGTGGCGCGGTTCGGGCGGCGCGCCGCGGGCCCGGCCTCTCTGTCCGGAGCCTTCGCTTTTGTTTCTCTCCGGGGCCCGTTTTGGTGGGTTCAAACTAGTTTTTTTGTTTTCCTCGTTTTTTTTGGGGGATGCATTCAAAATGATACATAATGACGTTCCTTGGTGTTTCAACGGCAGAGTGGTGTTTAGTTGAAACTGTTCTTCCTCGATATCCGCAAGGGGATGACATGTCACCAGGTTGCTAAATGCGAGAGATGGCCGGAGATGACCTCTGCAAAACATGACGCTTTATGCTGTGTGTGACAGCATGGCATGGTGGTTGGACATGTCTGGAAGGGAAACTAGTACGGGTCTTGGTTCATTCACTTTGATAGATGTTTCTCCCTCAAAGTAGGCTGGCAATTCGGGCAAACCATGGCAAACGACCTTGGGGACGTTGCTTCTGGGATTCCCGTTGGGAAGCTCCAATGGTGGCTGTGAGTCGGCAGTGTGGATCAGTGGTTGTTTTTTTTTGCTTTAGGGAGGACCTCACATCCAAGTCCACAGCCGCCAATGTGCGCCATGTGCCTTTCACATCCACTGACTGTTCAGCGAGGCCGAGGTGGAAGCTGATTGCTTTGAGTTTTAGTTTCGGTTTGAGCGGGGTGTTGAAGCTTGGAAACGGGGAAGGCGATTTTCCCCAAGGTGAGAGATTGGATTGAGAGAGTTGGTGCAGCTCTAAATGATCGGTGTCATCGGTGGTTCGCCAATGAAGACTTTGAGAAAGGGGAAGGGTCCAACTTCCAACTACTTTGGTCAGAGTAGCCAGGGGTTCACATCAGCTGCGCCTTGGGTGCCGGTGGGTGCTTTGAGTCCTGGTCGCCGACTCCGATTCCTTCCCAGAATCAAGCAGCAACTTGTTTTTGACGTAAACTACGTCGAGCTTTCCGAACGCCTTTCCGCAGCTCTTACGTAGTGCCCCCTAATCAGCTCAGCAGGAGAGTGGGTGTTGGTTGGCGTGCTTACGGCTTTCTCGTTTGGCCCAGCGGCGCAAACTGCCTAGTCTTGGGGTCAGCCAGGGGTGGCCCATTGTTTTGTTTTAGTAACTCTAAAAAAAAGAAACGGACAGTGTGATATGCGATAAAACCAGCTCGAAAATGCAAAAAGCGTGATCACTCTGAAACTGCGAGACCCTAGAATCAGGTTTGGCGCGAAGCAAAAGAAGGAGTCGAGAGTGCTGCAGGGTCTTTGGCTACAATTTTGGTAGGAAGTATGCCAATCGAGAGTGTACACTTAGTAATGGGTAATTGGCGGGGTCGTGGCTGAAACTTGCAAAGAATGCCAAGGCTCATCCAATGACAACAAAGCAAACATTGCAGGCTTAAACATATTGAAAGGGAGGATATTTAGAGGAAAGACCAATACTTTTCGAGAAATCGGGAACTCGCATGCGAGGCGTTAGAATCAGGTCTAGCACGAAGCAGACAACTTCAAGCAAATCACGACAGTTCCTCCTTAGGATTTAACTACAATTTGCGAGCTACAAAGACAGGATAAAACACAGTAGAGAGTAGTTCGGTGAGGTTGGGGATGATTCTTGACGTTTGTCATCCAATGACAAAAAATGGCGCGAAACATCCGAACAATACAAATGCTCAAAAATTCGAACCAATTGAACAATCCCAAAGACACGGAAATGCTGGGACCCCCGAGAAAACGCAAAGAAACCAAACAAATGAAAGCACGACAACTCGAACGTGCAAAAGCTGACAAACACAATTCTATGCAACTGGCGCGAAAGATCCGAAAGCATCGAACACTTGAACATTCTACAAGTTGGAGGACTCAAAGAATCTAGGTGCCCTGCAAAAACGGGAAAGCTCGAGATCTCGCCCTTTTGTATTATTTTTTTTTTGGTTGTTGTTTTAGTTTGCACGCTTTTGGATTTTTGTTTTTACTCGTCGTGTTCTGTGTTTTTGTCTCTCTCGATTCTCTCGATGTTTGAGTTTCAGTGCGGACACTGCGCGAAACAACGACGCCAATTTGACTGCCTAGAAAGAGATAACTGGGCGTTAAATAGACCATCATGTTGAACCTTCCCAAAAGGAAAGCAAGCGGGGTAGCAGTTTGTTTGTTCAAGCTCCCCCATTTCACCCGAAGCCAAACAACTCCTGTCCAGCGCCTTGCATCGACGCCCAGGTCCAGCTGATTCCACTGGACAGCCTCCGTGCCGCCCAGGAGGTGGCTGATGGCCAATCTCATGTTTGGGATGCCGTTTGTTCAAAGGCTTGTACTTCCCACGGTGAAATGGCATAGTGATAATTCAACTGTCCGTGCTGCAGAAGGCGGCGTGCCGCCAGCATTCGCCCGTTCTGCACTCCTTGGGCTTTCTGTTGCCATCAGTTCTGCACTTTGCCCTCGGAATGATCCCTTTGTTCTGACGCTCGGGCTAGAGCTATTGGGAATTCCTGTGAGGGCAAGTGTTGCCCATGATGGATCATGATCGCATGCCATTCCTTTGCCTCCCACCGCGCCCCGCCAGTTGCGCGGCGTAGATGCTGTGCCGGGGGCCTGGGCAGAGTGAAGCGGCCGCTGGACTTCTCGCCCTGCCAGTTAGCCTTGGTTCAAGTGAGCAAGAGGTTTTGGGAGGTCAATGGCTGGCTGGGCGCGCAAAATCAAGGGCAGTAGGCAACTGCAAGAGAGATGATAGAGGTTTCAGGTGGAGTGCTTGCTGTCGCAGGCTTTTCTGTCTTGGTGTGAGGTTCTTGGATGGCGACCACTCGCTGGAAGGCATCAGTACGACACTCAGATTGCCAGCTGCAGATAGCCAGAATGGGCGGACCGACTCCCACTGTGGCTCATGCGACACATTGGCATTGGAAAGACGTTCTTGTTCTCTTTTCAGCCACTCTGGTTTTTGTTTCGGATCTTTGTGCGCAAACCATTCTCTTCTGCACATGTCGTTTCAAGCCATTGTCCT